TATGTCTTGGACTAGAACGACGATTGAGGTTGAAGTCGCCAAGGATGAGGAGGCGTTCAAAGCAGAGGGAGAGGGAAGATAGGAGGGTGGAGATGTTGGGAAGAAAGTGGGGGATAGATCAGGGCGGCAACAGACAAGGAGAATTTTGAGGGACAGGTTGGTGGGTTCACAAAGGGTAAAGTGCTCAAAGGAGGGAAAGGTTCCAGAGGAGTAAGGGGATAGGCCAAGCGGGGACCAGGAGATGAGAGCCACACCGCCACCACGAAAGTTAGGTCGTGGGGTGTGATGGAGCGTGTAGCCGGGTGGTGTGATCTCTGTGAGGGGGAAGGTGTCGCCTGGCGTGATCCAGGTTTCATTGAGGGCGAGAATGTTAATGTTTTCATCGATGATGAGGTCTTGGATAATAAATAATAACAATATCCTTGCATTTGACATAGCACTTTTCACGTCTCAAAGCGCTTCACAGAATAGACTGTAAAATGAATTGACTGTATATTTGTGGGCGAAACGCGGCAGCCAATTGCGCACAGCAATGTCCCACAAACAGTCATGGATTGAAAATGACCAATTTATTATTGTTTTGTTTTGGAGGGATTATTATTAGGCTCTGTGTGGAGTAAGGAAACTTGCCCAAGGTTTCGCCCTCTGCCTGGATTGAGGTTGAATTGAATTGAATTGAATTGAACCCAGGTGTCTCACTTGCAAGGTGAGTGCTCTAACCACTGAGCTACAGGACTCCACGAGTGGATGGTGAGTGTTTTGTTGGAGAGGGGAGCGGACATTTTGTAGACCGATGCGGAGGGACCAGTTGGTGGCGGAATGTGGGGGGCGAGGTGGGTTAGGGGGAGGACTGACAGGAAGGGTGGGGATGTGGATGAGAGAGGAGAGGTTGGCCCTCGTGGTCAGGGACTGATAGGCCTTGCGAATAACTACATCAAATGCAATTCTGAGAAGGCACTACATCAAATACAAGGATTATTATTACATTGAATTGCTGATCACTTGACCCTGGCTTAACTTGTAATTACTACTTAAGTTACTATGCTGTCAAAATCCTGGCCGCATTTATTTATGTATTGATGCCTAATTCGCCACTCAGGATAACTTATCACTGAGCCCTTCCCCTTGGAGTGACGAGTTATCAGGAATTTACTGTACTATTATTAAGAAACATGCATTATTGCTAGCCAGATTACTGGAAGAAATTTCCTTCTCTTTTCAAACAGTGGCGCGGGATCTTAAACTTCTGCCTATCGGGACCTGTTTAACTTCTCATTTGAAAGATAAGATGGCACCTCCAGCAATACAGAGCTCCACATTGCTACACTAGAAGGTCAGTATAGACCAAGTGGGCCCTGAACTAACAACCTTCTGGCCCAACGGCAGCGATATTACCAGTTGTACCGAGCTGACACTTATAATTCATAGAGATAAAGTCACACATACCAACTTCATAGACATTTTTAGTGGCCGAGGCAGAGTTCCCAATTTCAGCATAAGGTGAATCTCTGCGAGCTGGAGACTTCATCTCAACGTAGCCACATTCTGAGTTTTTAGACGTGAAGACTGGAGGATCTTTGATGGTAGCATAAGGGTTCTCAGTGCTGTTCAGTGAACAGTTGCTGGAATTGCATCCCGAACTCTTCACCAGATCTATGAAATTAATAACAGTACAAAGATAAGCAACATCAACCACAAATTGCATTTATATAGTACCCTTCATGTAGGGCAACATCTAAATAAACATGAAAGCAGAGGTGAGTTAATTGCGCTAGTTAACAGCTCTAGTTAATTTGCTCTCTGCACATATATTGCACATGGCGCATAAGAGATCCCATTGAATACCTTAGGAACCCAATTTACAGCCCAGCATGGCTTTCCCAACTAAAATAATATGTTGCTGTTGATGACTGAAGGATTACAAGTTTTGACTACGTACAGATCATTTAAGACTTTACCTTTAAGAGATTTTCCAACAAATCCTCGGTCAATTCCAAAAGCACCTGTAATGTATATATATTTTAAAAGTTAATAACTTTTTAAATCGTTAAGCAGTCATTTCTTTAACTGACAAATGGAATGCAATAGATGAGACATTGACAATGAAAATCTGATAGGACGTTAATCTACAGGCAGATGAATGGCTGAATGAAATTGTCACATTACTCAATTTTAGGGCATATTGCTCTTTAAATGATGAAAAATGTTCGAAAAAGTTTTAAAAAGTTTAAATGATTAACTTTTTTAAAAAAAAATTGGCAATCTCTGAAATTCCAGTCAACCTAAATTTAAGATGTTGCTGATAATTTTTCAGATGACCTCCCTCCCACGTCTATTTGCCCAGAATGTTCAAACAGAGACCAGGATAGCATTGCTGATCACTAAAACAGCAGTCTTGCTGTTATCTCTTTATAATAGGAAATCCCATTATAAAAAATAAGGCTAAGATTACTAGTTATTAGCAATCTGGTGTGACCACAATGCACTCAGTTCCACACTCACCATCACCCTCAAAGTTCTCTCCCATATCAAATCCCCAACTGCATCTCATCTCCACAAGTTCCTTGGTAAAACAGTCACCTTCACTCACTAAAATCCACATCCCATGTGTGGTGTGTTCCAGTCAGATCCGAACATCTGGCTCAAATCTGGCCTCATGGTCCACCACTGGATCTGGCTGGATCACACCAAAACTTCCCATCTCTCCCTCTCCTCAGTCAAATCTTCCATCTACTCCAGGATCACCAACCATCTCTGCTGTTCACCCTCCCATTCTCCCTCCATCCTCACATTCAACAGTAAACATGAGCAGTTCATGGGCTTCCTGGACTCTAAATATGACAAGATTCATTCAGCTGTCTCCACTTCCTCCCCACTTGGCACCCTCTCCCTCCTCCCCTGGTTCCACACTGCCCACCTTTCACACCTTTGGACTCTCATCCTTCTCCTCCTTCATTGCTTACATAAAACCCACCACTTTCTTCCAACTCGGGCTCCCAGTCAGACCTTGTAAAGAGCTTTGAGATGTACCACTAGGTTGAAGGTGCTGTATAAGTGCAAACTAACTGTACTGTTGTTGTCAAATAAGGTGTGCCATTGCTTTATTTTGAATTCCAAAATAAAATTCTCATCCATGCATTCCCCAAGAATGGAGTTCCCCCTGGGTCGGAGTGATGTACTTCCATTACCAGAAGACATTCCTATTCGTACAATTCAGTTTACTCGATAAAAAAAACTTAAGAAATACTACAAAAAAGGCCCCTTATTTGTGTGTGTAAAATTAATCTGACACAAATTACTTTTTGTTTATGTACAGCATCTTCTAAATTTGTATTACTTTTTCGTTCATTGATAACATTTTTACAAAAGTGGAAAAGGCAATACCTAAATCATTCAGATAGCCTCCTTGCTTCCAGTCCGCAGGCAGAGTTGCTGTGTAATCCATACATGGGCTTGGTTTCCCTTGGGTCTTCAGGTTTTTGATGTTTACAAACAATTGATTGTTTTTTGTCTATTGATTAAAATCAAATATGTACAATATTAATTCACATAACCAGCATGACAATGGCTCTTCTTACTGCTTTCCTACTCCTGTGTGTTCCCCTATACACAACATAACAGTTTTCCTTTGCAATCAGAAAACTTCAGAATAACCATTGCCAACTTTACAAAGATTTACAAAGACTGTACAGCATGGAAACAGGCCACTCGGCCCAACCAGTCGATGGTTTAAACTCCACACAAGTTGTCACCTATTGATTTACTCCCTCCCACATCCTTCTATTCCAATCTCCCTCATGTGAAAGTCTAGCTTCTTCTGGAATGCATTTATACTATCTGATTCAACCACCGCTTCAGGCAATGAGTTCCATAATCTTACTCCCCTCTGCATGAAGTAGTTCCTCCAAAATTCTCTTTCTGATGCCCTAATTGCTATCTTATATTTCTTCCCTAGTTACCCCAGTGGAAAAAGCATATTTATGTTAACCTTATCGAACGTTTTTATAATCTTAAACACTTCTATCAGGTCACCCTTTAAACGTCTCTTCTCTAGTGAAAAAAGATCCAACCTACCCAGTCTATCCTGACAGCAATAATCTGCCAGCTTCGGTATCATCCTTATAAACCTATGCTGTACTCCTTCCATCAATGCTTCCAGTGTGGAAGATAGTATTCTACTCCTCAACATTTTTACTATTCTGCGAGTATTGTAGTTATTCACTTAGGTTGCTTTTTAGAAACTAATTATTTATAATGTGTTTAGCAAGGCACAGTGAAGGGGTGAGCCCAGTGCAATTGACATCTATGACCTTTATACAGTGTGGGTGTGAATTAACATGTTCCTGTGACTATTTCCTCCAGACTCCAGGTGGTAATAGGAGCAGGTTTCCAGAGTAATTGTGGTGCCTCAGCTCCAACCCCACCCCCAACCCCCCTATTTCTTGTTACAAGTATGACAGAACCACAGCAATTCATCACCAAACGTGCAGTATAAATACCCGTAATTGCATTTGTTTGTTTTTACCTTTCCTGATACGCTGCGTTCACAGTTGTTGCTATGATGTGGCCCTCCACATTGTGCCAAGGTGTGGTAGCTCGGATTGGAGAAATAGTGACTATTTCCATTTCCAATATTACCCTGTGGCATATTCTCTGCAAAAAGAATACGTTGAAGAACTGTTGAGATCAATAATAATAATAATGCTATTAATCCCTATATTTGATATAGCACCTGATCACATCATTGAGACGTCCCAAAGCGCTTCACAGGATACACCAGAAAGTGGATTGACTGAATATTTTGTGGGCGAAATGTACAAAACTGCTCTGCAGTTCATAGTCCTTGATAGCCACTGAGTGAGCTTTGACTCTTAAGACCTTTACAAGGGTATAGGAAAGTTAGATGCTTTGAAGGTGTATGGGGATGGGGCAGGACGGTGAAAGAACAGCTTGCTCTTAGAGATGGTGCAAACTCAATTACTATGATTCTATAACTCAATGAGTCCCTACACAGAGCTTCTCACCTGAAATTGTGTAATCTGTGTTCATAACCCTGAGTGCAGGTGTGTACGTAACAGCAGCCATGTTGGTCTCTTTGCCCTTCTGCCTCCGTCTGTATATGATGAACATTCCCAGCAGGAAGAGAACAATCAGGAGAAGAATGACGATTCCCACCGTGGCTCCAATCTGGTGAGAATCAGCAGGAATAGCAGTGCTGGTCCGACTCAAGCTATTGAGGTTTCCCACAATTATAACACCAGCTGCATATGTAAGAAGTAATATTGGACATGGATAAGAAATAGGGCTTTTTACGCATGTTGATTAAGCAGTGCTTCTCAAAGGTAAATTTCATTCCAATTCTAAGATGAACACATTGCCTTAGAAAGATAAGCAAGGTGATGTACCAAAGGTAAGGACTCTCCCCCCCACCCTACACAACCACACACACCATTTCCAATGTGCTGGAGCCGAGATCTCTCACTGATGATATACTAATCACTATAATATTTACTGTAGCATCCTTACTGTGATTGACCTCATTTTTTTACAATGTATTGAATTTAATTCATGACGTTTTCCTGCTCAGTTTAAAAAATTCAGCACCTGTGACAAATCAAATTCTACACAAATACAAGTACCAAAACGTGTGATTTTCTTGGTGTCCTCCAACGATAGTTCCAGTCCTACTGCACAGCGTGCATTCATCAGGCACAGGGGAAGAGCAAGAAAGTGGTTCCAGAGACCAAAATGAATGAGTTTGCTTAAAAGGACACATACCTTGGTCACACCGTGCACCCTTCCATCCTGGGCTGCAGTAACAAGTCCCTTTAATATGGTCACACGTTGAATTGTTTAGACAGTCACACACCTGACGACAGCCATAGCCATAGGTACTTGAGAGACATTCTGTAAGACAATAATAGTGTCGTCAGATATGATATATAATACGACTGACAAAATCACAGAGAGGTTCAGATGAAGAAGGGTCTTCAGTCCATTTGATCTAATTTTCACAGAACGCCCATCCTACCATCCTCCAGTCACAACATTAAACTTTCTTAAATGATATAATCAATGATAGTAATAATCCTTCATTTGGTGTAGCTCCTTTCACATCAGGAAGACATCCCAAAGTGCTTCACAGGATTTACTGTGAAGTGACCGTGTTTATAGGCGAATGCAGTAACCCAATTGCACACAGCAAAGACCCACAAACAGGCATGAAAAAACGACCAATTTAATTTGGGGGATTGTTGGCCAGGACGTTGGGAGAAATTCCCTTCTCATTTCGAATAGTGTCATGGGATCTTTTATGTCCACCTAAACAGGCAGAAAGTAGCTTGGTTTAACTTCTCATCTGGGACATCACCTCCAACAATGCAACACCCCCAGCACTGCATTGGAGCGTCATCTTCGATTATGTGACTCCGAGTCCCGATGTGGGGCTTCAACCCACAACCTTGACTCTATGGCTGACAAATCATGATATGAAGCAATGCAGGAGGTCTCCACTATTTGTACTTGGCTGTCACTGATGTGATCTGTAACTTAATTGAAGCTAAATTGTTCAAATAAAAATATATCCAATCTGTTCATCCTCCTTACTATCATGCCCAGATTTACAAATGTTTTCGCGAGCTTGTTTCATTGCATCATCAATGGTTTGGGCTTAAGGCCCATATCAGACCTTGGATCTCATCTAGTCTAGACTGACGCTCCAATGCAGTGCTGGGGGTGTGCTGCATTGTTGGAGGTGCTGTCCTCTCGATGAGGCATTAAACCAAGGTCCTGCCTACCTCTTTAAGTGAATGTTAAAGGTCTCATGACACTATTCGAAAAGTGAACAATCCCCAAATAAATTACATTGCTGTGCGCAAATTTGCTGTCACTTTTGCCTACAAAATACAGTCACTGCACTTTGCAGTATATCCTGTGAAGCCTTCTGAAACAGTCTCCTGATGTGAAAGGCGTTATATCAAATGTACAGGTATTAGGATTATTATTTTATTTGTTAACATACAAAAGTGTAGTTGATCCACATTATGCTGTACTTTAAAAACAATTGTTGTATTTAGATAAATATGCTTGATTAATGTCATTTGAGGAACAATATTGTAATTAAGTATTTTAAATTATTCTGTCCTTCAAACTAAAAACTTGTCATATGTGCAGTTCACCATAATACCACAAGAGGGAGCAACACTACTACTAAAAGTGAAGAAAAGGCCATATCAAGTTTTGAGCACCAGCTACAAACAATATTTTTTTAATGGAAAAAAACACTCATTTAAATAGTATTTTTTCCTGGTAATTGTTCTTCACAGTCAGATGTGGTTTCTGCCCAGTCCATAGCACCAAGATGGCCCTGGTCAAAGTCACCAACAATATTCCCTTCATCTGTGACCAGGTCTCCCTTTGCATCCATTTCCTCCTCGATCTCTCTGCCACCTTTGATACTGTTGACAAATTCCCTTATCTATCATCTCCCCTTCCTACTCTATCTCAGGCTCTACCCTTTCCTGGTTTCCTGTCCCAGCGTCTTCACTTTGCCTCCTCCAATGGCTTTTCCTCCTAACCCTGTAGAGTCGTGTAGCTCAGTGGTTAGAGCACTCGCCTCGCAAGTGAGAGAACTGGGTTTGATTCCTGGCAGGGCAAAACCCTGGGCAAGTTTCCTTACTTCATACGCCTGATAATAATCCCTCAAGACAAAAAAAAACAATAATGTGGTCACTCAATCCACGACTGTTTGTGGGACACTGCTGTGCACAATTGACTGCCACATTTCACCCACAAAATATAGTCAATTCACTTTACACTATATTCTGTAAAGCGCTTTGAGATTTCTAGAAGACATGAAAAACACTATATCAAATGCACGGATTGTTATTACTATTATTCTAACCCAACACAATCACTGGTGGCATTCCTCAAGGCTCTAACCTCTCTTCTGTTCACTATCTAAATGCTCCCCCTTGGTGACATAATTTGTAGGCTTGGGGTCCACTGGTTGTCAGTCACACATCAAGTTCTGGAGGACTTCTAACTTCTACAACTCAATGTTGACAAAACCAAGGTTCTCCTGACTGGCTCCAGTCAGCACCTTCTCACGTCACGAGTCCACATCGACCCGTTCGGATACTCACTCCACCTTCACCTCATGGAGCCAGTGCGGAACCTTGGTGTTGTGTCGAGGTTCCCAGTCACTCGCTCGGATTGTTGTCCAGGACACCAGGAGAAACTTCCTTTTCTTTTCGATTAGTGCAGGGGATCTTACTTTGACTCGGATTCCTTGATAAGGATTCCCACAAACCAAGACTCCTTCTGATAACTAGAATCCCGCCGTACTGGGAGAGTTCCTCTCCCAGTTGATCTATGGAACATGGTTCTGGCCGTTCAATGGGAAATCTAACAAAATTGTTTGTTAAAGAATCAAATTGAAAAGTACTGCAAGTCAGCCTCTGATATTGTTCCCCCAAGAGACAGCAGCACTGGATAAAATATACCCTTTTTGATCTAAATCTCAGTCATTTCATTTCCTTTGTAACACACTGAGAACAAAGTTACAGCACTCTCTCTCCTTTCATATAATGGACTACCAGTAACTTCAAAGGGCACTAAGAAAAGAAAAATCCACAACATGGTTTAAATACAGAATACTTAGAACTTTATACTTAGAATCGGGTTTCTGATTTAAACATTTTTGAATACAGGTTGAACTTGTCTTTTCCAAGTTTCCGCAGCTGGGAGCTTTTGGCAGAAACTGGGAAGAGGGTGAGCGCTCAGCGCTGTGGCAAGGTTTCATCTATACTATAATTAATTACAGTAATTTAAAGTTTTAAGACGAGGAGAAGCTAAATTTGTTTCCCATCAAGTCAGGTTGCAGCTGACATTGCTGGTGAGATGAGCAATTAGTGCTCAGGCTCCTCTATATTTAGAGCCCTGTTCCAAACAAGATTTGAACATATTCTGAGTAGGAGAGAATTGAGAGCCCTCTGTGTCTCATAGAACTCTTTTATTTCCAGATAACTTGAGTTGGTGACACATTTTAATGTCAAACTATACACCTCTATTCATCACACGAAAGACAACCTTTCCACCAACATGGCTTGTGCAGATTTCCAAATCGGATTGTTACGAGAAGGTTGATTTTGTGTCATTCCTTAACAGATTTCTTAATTAAGACACAGTTTGTGGAACTTCGCTAAGCAGCTCAGTGGACTGGCGTAGGGATTTCAACAGGTCATAAGGAGCGAGCCCAGTTTGATTTGTAGTCGCTATATTCGTACTATGCACGTGTGAACTCCACTGCTCTGGAAGTCAACTCCTCAAAAACCATGTCTCGTCCATTCATGGGAACGTCGCTCCTACACAATCTATTTTTGGAGCTGGGTCCCAGGGAAGCAGAGTGACATGGGACATTTTTCCAGTTACCAAATATAATTCTTTCTAAAGTCTTTTATTGATGAAATCAGTTAAAACAAAACTGATCCCAAAGTGAGATGAAATAAATAACTGGTACTAAATGAATTTGTAGCACTCTTGGAATTGCTGTGTGCAAATTGACTGCCACATTCACTGCACTCAACAAAAAAGCTATATAAACTGTAAGAATTATAATAACAATGATGATTATCTAAATAAAATTATAACATTTTTGAGAGAGATATAAATCCTCAGAGATGTAAACTGAAAATTGCAAAGAACTGTGTTGACAGAGCAATGGAAAGGCACGGTCATTTCTTTACAGTGATGGTGTTTATTCTTCACTTACTTTGCTCGCAATGTTTGCCCATAAATCCAATGCGGCAGGTGCACTGGCCTAATATGTGATCACAATCCGCTCCATTTTGGCAGTAACAAAGCTCAGCACAGTCTTTTCCATAATAACCTAACGGACATCCTGCAGTAAAACAGAGACATGGCAAATAATTGGGGGGGCAAGAGAAGTGCTTTCAAACTCAGAACAAAAATAAAATGCAGTACATTCTAATATAAGCTCTGCTTGATTGTACTTATTGTACTATAGTGTATATATATATACTTTAGTGTATATATATATACTATAGTGTCACACATAGTAATTTCCAGTAGCATTTCTTGTTTGGTCAAAATTGGGTCCTGAGGGCTTTAATCCCACCTTGACCAGTCTTTACTAACATGTTTAACTCCTAAATCCCATTTAGTTCACATCATGTCCCGATTCCAAGTATTATTTTGTTGATGACCTCTTCACTCCTTCAGCATACAACATTTCTCCAGCTGTCTGCCTGTCACATCCAACCTTGAAGATGCACCATAGCATTATTTCCAGTCAGCTTCCTAATTTGGAATGGGAAATCTCATGATAAAATCACAATGGGAAGATCTGTATATTTAGTATCAGGGAATGATGGATTTCAGTGACATTCCTGAGTGTCTGGCATCATATCAGAGAGAGGCTGCCAGGGTACGTAGAGATGCAGACAAAGGAGCACACGTCAGAAAGTGTGTCAATGTGTACCATTAGGTTTCCCACGCAACACACAATACACCCTGCTGAGAATATTACTTGCTTCAAATGACAAACATTTCACAGCGTGATTTTAATTTGTTGGATGCATCCAAACAAAACCAAACTCATCAGGTACCTTACAGCTCCTGCGCAGTCACCCAACCTTGATTGCTGCAGAGTAATTTTCTTGCAGCAATGCAAGGGGAGTGACGGACATCAACTAATAATGGCAAGATAATAATAATCTTTGCATTTGTGATAGCACCTCATCACTTTGAAACATCTCAAAGTGCCTCACAGAGTGTACATTACAGTGTAGTGACTTGTACAAGAATTTTTTTTGATGGCCACCAGTACTACCTCCTGCTTTTCACATGTGCAGGAAACAGGGAGTGACATTTTGTTTTAGCCCACGATTCAACCAGCGGGCTGGGAGTAAGTTGGCCTGCTGTGCTTGAGCACAGTGAAACCTGCTATTGCGCTATGACTGGCTATGACTGGCTGGGACTTTATGGATCCAAAACACTGTGTTATATATAATGGGGCTTCGTTGTAAACAATGCTGAAAAAAACTAGAACAAAAATGCTACACCTCTGAGTTAGTGGAAAAACATCTCATAATGAAACAAACATTTTTTCTAAGGAAATCCCAGTACATCATGGCAGCTCATCCTCATAAGATCTGTCAAGCCAACGTAATACACTGGAGGTTTCCAACAGAAAACGCAGTCGACACAATGAGACCTTTTTTCTCAGGGCATTTGAAGTTGCTTTTTCAAACTCATTGTTATTTTTCAAGTTACCTAATTATATACGCAGTAAATTTAGTGACGTTGGCAGTGACCTGATGACCCGGAAGGTTTTTTTATATGGCGGGTATTAAAATACCTCGCTTACAGGTATTAGATTGCTGTTGATGTCACTTTCTGTTTCGCACACGTGGAATAAGTGAGGTCCACAGTCAAACTATGTTAGAAGGAAATTTGTGCCATAGTGAAGTACGTTATAACGGGACAGCACGGTGTGTCGCGGATCTCTGGTACAACACTGATTTCCCAGAATAAAGACATAACGAAAAGTAGATTTAGCCTCAGGAACGTTTTTTTAAAACTTAACATTATAGGGGAGTTTGGAAAATTCTTAAATACAGTTTTGATTCTGAAGCCAGTTTTCTGCATGTTATAAAAATCATTGGTGGGATGGGGGGGGAAATCGTTTCAAAGCTTAGGACAAAATTTAAGATTTTTCCCAAACCCACAGTTCTTGTAAAGACATTTTAAAAATATATATTTAAAACATTCTTGCAGGCTAAGACTGAGTGAAATTTCAGAAATGACTGAGGAAAACAAGCGATCAAAAGGTGCCATGGACAATAATATGCTTTGTTTGTATTCCCGGCACCCTAAGTTATCTGATGGGGTTGCCTCCTTCCTTACTCTGAGTGCAGTACAGCCCAGTCCACCCAGGTGTACACTTGCATTCCCCATCATAGGCACTGCAGTAAGCTCCGTTGTGGCAGTTGCAGGTGTGGATGCAGTTCGGTCCCCAGTGGCCAGGAGGGCAAGCTGATGAAACAAAGAAATCAGGAGATGGAATCAGAGCCAGCAATCCAATACATGTGAACTGTATCTGACTGCACCCACAGAAAGCCTTCCACGTCGAGGAGGGAGCCACTCGCAGAACCGTAAAATGTTACGACACAGAAATAGGTCACTCAGGTGAACAAGTTTTGCTCCGGTACTTTTTTTTCTAAACAAGTGATTTAGTTTAAACACACTTTCCTGTTTTCTATCCATTCCTTTTAACAACTTTTAATCTTCTCCTTTTTCAAGTATCAACATTATTTTTATTGAAAATAATCCTTTCGAAAATGATTCACAGACTCTGTATTGTTTTGTAACCTACCCTTTAATTTCTTTTTTCTTTACTATGAAATTTGTGCTCTCTCATTACTGATCTATTAACTGTTTAACTTTTATAATCTTGTGGACATTTATCAGGTCATTCCTTAATCTTCTCGCTTCTAATGAACAAAGCCCGAACTTCTTACAATGCGTTTCAAACAACAAGAACAATTTACATTTATTTAGCACCTTTCACATCGGGTGGATGTTTGACAGGGCTTCACACAACTGAATGGGGAATGGGTGGAAGGGAAAAGTGGCTGACAGTGTAGTTGAAGAGATAGGTTTATGGGAGGTTTCAAAGTTATAATATAATAACAGTCCTTGCATTTGATACAGCGCTTTATCACATAGTCGAGAAGTCTCAAAGCGCTTTCACAGGATATACTGTAAAGTGGATTGGCTTTGGGGGTAAATCACGGCTGCTTGCGGGAGAGAAGGGAAAAAGGTAAGCACGGACACGATTGAAGAGGTAAGTTTTATGGTGGGACACGTATACAGACAGAGAGGGGGTGAGCTGGAGGGGCTGAGGGAGGAAGTTCCAGAGATTGGACTTGTAGAATTGGAAACTTTGGTCACTAGTGGTGGTGTGGGGAGGGCGGGAGATGTGCAGCAAACCCAAATTAGCTGATTGTAGGGGGTGAGCAGAGAAGTGGGTAGGAGGAGATCGGAGAGACATAGAGATACATGAAGGGATTTGTAGGTGAGGGCAATGACCTTAAAATATAAAACAGTACAGAAGAGTTTTAGCTAATTTAAAAAAAATATTTCATTTCCTTCTGTCTATTTCTGGGTATTTTCTTTGGAATATTTATATTTAAACACAATTCCAGCCACACAGAAGCAACAGAAAGAAGGGAGGAAATGCCATGTTTAATGATGACAGGAAATTGGATTAATATCAATGGGATACAATCATTGGCACAGAATACTTCTGGGTTTACATCATTCCAAGGGCATTTGTTGATTTGATTCTTCTGACTCGTTAGGGTCAATAACTTAATTCTGTTGGCCTGAGTCAGTGTCTCTGAATAATACTATGGTCATCAATCATTTATTCAGAGAAACATCTGAATGTAACAAAAATAGAAATGATGATAAGGGAAAGAATAAGAACTTTTGTAAGGTGTTTATCACACTGAAGCATTTCACATTTAATTACTATCACGATTGTTTCTGGGTGAACGCAGAAACCATTTGCAGCAGGAAAGGCTACATAAACAACTCTGATGGTGAATGACTGTTTAATACGAAGAATTGTTGACCAGGACACCAGGGGTGACCCGCTTCTGTTTTGAATAGAATAGTGCAATTCTTTAATGGCAGCTGAAGGACAAACAGACGGGACTTCAGCTGAAATTCTCATCCAAAAAGCAGCACACTAAACAATACGTGCTGCCCCTGTGCCCAACTGGTGTGTCAACCTAGTTTTTTATGAGCTCAAATTTCTAATATGGAGCTTGAACCCACAACCTTCTGAATCACAGGTAAGATTGCTGCCAATTTGGCCAAGCTGCCCAATTTAAGGTCTCCCTCAAGACCTAATCTTTGAGCTTGCTTTCGGTCATCATTCGCCTCCTCATCTCCTTTCGACTCCCGCACCCAGCTCGGGTGCACAGCCACCAAAGTTCAGCCCTTTGACACGTCCTCCAGAAATGAACGGTGCTATATAAATGTAAATTCTATTGTACAGTAAGTGGCCAATATTTGTCTTAAGAGTAACGGTCCCTCCATGAAGCCATGTATAGAGGTGCGGCCAAAACATTTTACGACTTTTTATACATCAGTCTGTTGTTTTCTTCTTTTAAGAAAAATCATTATATTAAAAAAAAAGAAAATGAAGACAGACATGTCAGTACTCACGTTGAGAGCAGTCGCTGCCAATCCACCCTGGATAGCATTGGCACGATCCATCAATGGGATTACATGTTCCATTGTTTGTGCAAGTGCAGGCACTAGCACAGTTCTTTGCAAATCGACCACTGGGACAAACTGGAGGCAGAAACAGGATTGTTAGACTCATTATAAAAAAGAAATGCAGGCAAAAAACTTCACAGGTTAGCAACATGGTTTGGATTAGGAGAGCATTATTTGCTTATTTAACAGCATGAAGTAAGGGAATACAATCCAAATGTATGCTATCATTGCCAACAGGAATATGTCAAAAAATATGTCAAACAAAAAATATTCCAATCATTACCAGGCCCTATTTTGTACAGTCCAGTACAACTAAATAGCTGCTACCATTCTCTCTGGCTCTTTATTCAAAAACAAAATATTTCCACTAAATTAATTCCATAAAATGAACCTATATATATATATATCATATATATGTATGATTCAGCAAAAAATGTATCTTTGGAGACCCTGTTTTTTTTCCTGGCACAGCTGGATTTGGACGACTGAGACACACGAACGATTTGTTCCAAGAATTATACTGAGTACGGAACACCAATCTAACAAACCGGAGAGTAAAAGTGGACCACTCTGTTTTGATGGCAGACCACTATCTTGGCTCTTCTCAGTGGAAGGCAATGCAACCAAAGCTAACAAAAACAACACATTACACTTGTATAGGGTGCTTCAAAGTAAGACATCTCAAGGCGTTGGACAGTCAGGGGTTTTTAGACCCACATGGCACTTAAGTCCTCTACAGGGTATCTGCTCACAAAGTCCTGTTACCCCCTGTTACAAAACAGTGATATGAGACTATGGAGAAGGTGAAACAAGCTGTCAGAGATGCATTTCACCCGGTCACTCCATCTATGTTACAGAGGTTGTTGTCCTGAACATGGCGACGGATCATTATCTGCCGTGAAAACGATAGCGCTCATACTGATCCTCTGGACGTCTAAATATCGTTAAACACTTGTACTGAATACAATTAATTATTTCTAAATACAATTATCATCATTCTTCCATGTTTCAATTGTTGGTCAGTGCCCTGTAGAAAAAAAACATGTGGGTAACAGGACTTTGTGGACACCCTGTACATTACAATTTTCATGCCATAGTTAGATTGACAGAAGCTTAAATTTGGCATGAAAATGGTGGACTTTTAGGACAAACTGTACAAAGTAATTCTCAGCACGGTGGGTGAAACTGGTAAGCGTATACGGATTTATTGTTCAACATGCCCGTTTTGCTGTGCTTGCACCTCTGTGGTCTGGGCTAAATCTAGCTGTGGCTGTTGGAATGAGGACTCTTCCCTTTAATGGCTGTTAATTTATTGAGTTTATTCTTAAACTAAACTAAAACAAATTCAGCTTTGTGTTGCAGCGCTATGGTTTGTGTTAGCAAATCTCTGTGATCTTATTAGAGTAGGCTTGCAGCCTCTTGTCTGCTGACTGACTTCTGGATTAAAGAATGGTCTTGATGTTTGGGAGCACTGCACTTCCTCAATCGTACTCCTTCCCGTCAGCAGAGTCTCTCTAACATTGTGTGTGGGCAATGGATCATCAATGGTGCCAACAACAGACATAAAACCGAGGTGGTGCACTAATGCAACGCACGCAGGCCTAAAACTTTCAATACATATACAAAGACAAAACACTAAATACCTTCATTGCAAAGAGCATTTGTAAAGCCAGGTAAGCAGTCACACTGGCCAGTTATGTGATGACAGGGCCCGTTACTGTGTACGCAGTGAGGACAGGCCTGGCTACAACGATGTCCATAAAATCCAGGTGAGCAAACTGCGAAAGCAAAGTTAATGGTCACGTATGTTTGGTTTGCTGATGTGGAAACCATAAATAATCGGCTACAAAAAAATACACAGTCACCACACTTTACAGTATATCCCGTGAAGTGCTTTGAGACATCGCAACGACGTTCTAAGGTGCTACATAAAAACGCAAGGATTATTGTTATTATACTGTATTTTGAAAACATACAATGCAGTCAATTTAATGGCAGTTTTTATCCAGTATCCTGCTAACCGGCCATTGAAGGCCACAGTTCATGAGCCAAAGATCCAATATTTCACTTTCTATTTTGCACATGTACGGTGAGTGGGGACCACAGTGCAGCAGCAGTAATCAAATTTGCACTGTAGTGAAGCACGTTATAACAGGACTGCACTATATCTAGTGGTTATCTGGTACAACGCTGATTTCCCAGTATAAAGATGCAATGAAAAGCATGCATTTTCAGCTCTGAGAGAGCATTGCCTTAAAATGGACTTTACCACTGAGGATGGTGTTAGGTGGGGGAGGGGCACTGATATATCCACATCTTGATCCATTCAGTCAGTTAAATATCAAATGGACATCTAAATTGACCCAATAACCAGAACAGCACCAAAGGTAAGTTGGTGTATTTTTGAAGCATGCCTTCGTATTAAACTCATGATCTTTCACCCTGAGACCTATTTCCTCATTGTGACAAATATTTAAAATGAAAAAGCAGTCAAGTCATTGTGTGCGATATGTGTAAATACAAAATTGTGCGTGTGTGTGTGTGTGCCTGTGCGTGTGTTTGTGTGTAAATACAAAATACCCAACTCCAACAATATTACATCTGGGAGAAGTTTGAAATCATTGTTTTGCTAACGATTCACATTCAGAAGAGGAGTAGATCTGCAGATGGCTTCCAAGACAATAAGCAGGTTCATTCACACCTCAAATTGAATGAGGTTTTTGAAACTTCCCCGAAACTTGAAAACGATGATTCTTCAAGTTCAAACACCTTTTACTGGGTGTGGGCACACCTCAAAACTATTTATGTGGAGAGATCCTTGGAGAGCGAATAGTAGAAATCTCTCCACATAAATAGTTTTGCGGTAGTGAATGTACATTCAAACCCACCGCTGAAGCATTGCTCCAACTCTAGTCTCCCACTGCAAATGTACATAAATACAGGTGGCTGAAATGCAGAGATGAGCTCTGGTCTTCTTGTCAATACATCCTTACTTACTTCTCTGGCAAGTGGTTCCCCTGTAGCCAGGCGCACACTCACAGGTCCCATCATCAGGTGAACAGGAAGCCTCATTTTTGCAGTTACACGGCAAAGTACAATTTGGACCCCAGCGACCTTCTGTGCAGATGCTGTCACAATGCATACCTATAAAGGTGGGAAAACAGAGCTTTACAAAAAGCTGTGTTAACTAAGTCATGATATAGATGTTCACCTAAAAATTCACAGTCACTACACTGTACAGTCTATCCTGTGAAGTGCTTTGAGACATCTTCCTGACATGAAAGGCGCTATTTCAAATGCAATTTTGATCACTATTCAGAGATAAAGATCCATTTTAACTCAGATTCTTTGAAAATTAATGCTGACTATGATTTAATTATTGTAATTTTTTAAATTTTTATTAAGAAAACATTAAGAATGGATTATAAACAGTCCTGTTAACCCTGGGGCCTGGCTTTAGAATTTGTTCATTGTGACAAGATGAAAGACTCCTCTATAATACATACCAGTGTCAATTCAGTTCCAAGCTCTGCCAGATAAAATTGCTCATAAACATGCACTAATTTGGTAATACTCTCAAAGAGGAAACTAGAATGGCTGGTGAGGGAGATAGAGATATCACACTGTGAAGTAGGAGATGCCTTTTGAGTTTGGGATTAAGGGTCATTGTTGAGGCAAGGATGATGGAGCTTTATTCTAAATTTTTGCATGTTTCGCTTGGATTTTTCGCTCCCACACTTCATTGGGAAATGAGAGACTAAGATCCAATTATAGACTTGCAAATGGATCAGAAAGTCTCTCATCGTGACAAAGGCAGCGTGTTGTGCCAGTTGAGACACTTCTGGGCTTCCATTTTAATGGTAACCAAAAGATTTCAATAAATCATTCGAGGTCAGCTATGATCCTTCACAACAATGAACAAAACATTTTTGCTCTTATTCGGGAGGGTTGAAAGGCACCCAAATCTGCTCATTACATTTAAGGCACATGGAAAAACTGAGCCTTTAGCTGGAGCATTTGAAATGTTCTTTCGTCTATAGGTACTGTTAAGACTAGAAAATAAAAGCCATAAAACTAGCCTGCCATATTATTCAGGACCACACAACAAGGCGTTCCACGGATCATCACAGCATATCGGCAAAACAGAAAATGCTACGGGACAAAAACAATCTGTCTAATTTCTTCTTTTCGAACCAGTGAATGTCTCTCTTTTTTAAATCAAGTGCTGGTAAACATCCATTGTAGCATTTGGACCTTATTGTGTCTACTTGCTTTACAATCGAGGCTGTCATTTTACTGAATGAATCACTTGGCCACAGCTGATGAGAAAGCTGACTGGATCCCACAGAAACTATGGCCTCTTATGTAAGAGCTTAAATAATGTAAATTAGCAAAGCGGAATTTTTTAACTGCAAAATGTTTTAAACATAAGACACATCAATTAGTTGGGTTAGAGTGAATATTGCAGTCCAGCAAGCCTGATTTAATTTGTTCATTTTTCTCTTCTGCAAAGGATAAATGATCATTTTGTCGCACGTTTGTGTCTGTTTTGAATTTGATAAGTAGTATTGTGAGGGAATGGAATGCCAGCAAAGGATAAAGAGCTCTTTCATAGTCTTTCACGTTGCTAGGCAATTGCTCAACGGTTGTGATAAACTTCAGCTAGGCAGCTCTAAAGAAATGCCCAGGCATTTAATGCCCAATGTTTCAACATGGGCCTCCGAGTTTCATTCAGCATTCATTCTGCATCTACATTAAGATGGGTTGGGTAACAAGTCCTTTTGTGATATCATAAACAATCTCCATTTTCTGTGTTCCAGATAAAACCAGCTGCCTATGACATATTTAACTGTATCCAAGACGAGAGGCACTTTTAAATCACTGCATTTCAGATTATCATACACCTAAAATAAATCTCCACAATCAAGAAATTGTTTTAATTTTATTTTACTAGTCAAACACATTGTAGTAGTTCTCTTCTATGAACTGTTTAACACTTAGCCTACGTTTATGATAACATTTTATCAATTAATGCTCCAACCCAGAGACTTCTGCATTGAACATTTGGAATTTTGTTTTTGATGTGTTGACAGAAAATTATTTTCTACAAGAAACGAATCTGGAATGTCGCCCATGCTTAAGACAAAAGACCATTTATATTAACAAGGGATCCCCTGCCAACTACTCCTCCACATGGTAGAAGCTGTGTTAAATAATGAAGCTAAATTGAATGCAATTCCGGTGCTGGAAACTAAATATTACTGTAAATACATAGTATCTAGGTATCTAGACAACCTATTTTGCTAAAACTTTGAACCAGAGGTGGCAGATTACTTATTTAGAGGCATTCACCAGTCTTCTCTGTTTATGATTCATATGATATTCGCAAATTAGATTGATTTTAATTGCAATTTCCAGCTGATGACTATGCAATTTAATTCTCAAAATTTCCAAAATGGTTCAGCCAGTTAGGTAGGGTGGTAAACACTGAGAAGGATAAGAGCCAACTGCAGGAAGACATAGACAGAATGGTAAAATGGGCAGATACATGGCAGATGAGTTTCAATGTAGAGAAATGCGAAGTAGTACATTTTAGTAGAAAGAATGAGGGGAGGCAATACAGGCTGGTAATACAATTTTAAGGGGGGTAAAAGAACAGAGAGACCTGGGGGTGCAGGTAACTGAATCCTTGAAGGTGGCAGGACAGGTAGATAAAGCTGTAAAAAGGGAAAATGGGATTCTAGGCTTTATAAATAGGGGTATAGAGTACAAGAGTCGGGAGGTTATGATTAACCTCTATAAAACACTGGTTAGGTCTCAGTTAGAATACTGCACCCAGTTCTGGGCACCACACTATAGGAAGGATGTTAAGGCATTGAAAAGAGTGCAGAGGAGATTTATAAGGATGGTACCAGGAATGAGGGACCTTGATTATGAGGAAAGGTTAGAGAGGCTGGGATTATTCTCATTGGAGCAGATAAGTTTACGAAGAGACCTAATAGAGGTCTTCAAAATCATGAGGTGATTTGATAGGTTAGAAAGGGAAAAACTGTTTCCACTGGTGGCTCGAGGTCACAGATTCAACATAGTATCTAAAAGAAGTAGAGGGGAGGTGAGAAGAAATTTTTTCACGCAGCGAGTTGTTGGAATCTGGAACACATTGCCTGAAAGGGTGGTGGAGGCCAATTCGATAACTACTTTTAAAAACGTGGTGGATGGGTATTTGAAGAGCACGGGTTTGCAGGGTTATGGGGAAAGGGCTGGGGAGTGGGATTGACTTTAATTGCTCTATTCAAAGAGCCGGCACAAACTCGATGGGCCGAATGGCCTCTTTTTGTGCTGTACAATTCTATGATTCTATTGTAAATCATGAAATTTGGCAACAGTCTGACAAAGGGCCTCTGAACAAAATTCCCTCATATCTTGAAAGCATTGAACCTTGTTGCCTTCAGTTGCTGTGCGGAAGTCCTGGGTCAATCTCATTGATGTTGTACCAAAAGCAACACCAACTTTAGATACATTTCTTTTTTATTGCCTCCTCCTGACGCTGTCAGTGTTACTGCAAACAGTTCTGCTCATCGCAATATAAGGGAACTGTCTGAGCCCCAGAAGCAGTGCAGAGAAGAGCAACAAGCAACGATCCCCAGTGTTATAATAATAATCCTTGAATTTGATATAGCGCTTTTTCACATCTTCTCGACTTCTCAAAGCGCTTCACAGAATAGACTGTAAAGTGAATCGACCGTATATTTGTGGGAGAAACGCGGCAGCCAATTGCGCACAGCAGTGTCCCTACAAACAGGCATGGATTGAAAATGACCAATTTATTATTGCTTTGTTTTGGAGGGATTATTATTAGGCATGTGGAGCTAGGAAACTTGTCCAAGGTTTCGCCCTGCCTGGAATTGAACCCAGGTGTCTCGCAGTGCTCTAACCACTGAGCTACAGGACTCCAGTGTTAGAGGAATGAGCAATGATTAGACAAACTACAGCTCTTCAGTCATGAAAGGAACATCAAAGATAGGACCTAATGGAGTTATATAACATTTTAAATGGAATTGAGAAAGGAGACTCACATTTATGTACATAAATGGATTCATGCTGGATTCATTTAAGAAACAGCTTAATGCTGGGATTGGAGAACAGTTTGGTGGGTGTTCTGGGAGGTTGAGATGAAAAGACCAGAAGGGCCTTCTTCATCTAAGCCTCTCTTGTAATCTTGTGAATATACTATATATATTGTGCATGAGGTCAACATCCTACCAAGAAAACTATTGGGACAAAATGTTCCTTTTCGATGTCTTTCCGTCTGTCCTATGTCTTATTTTCCTTTCCAGCCATCTGTCGCCACCTCTCCTATCTATCTCCCAGCTCCAGTTCTCACTCAACAACAACAACTTGCATTTATATGGTATCTCATAAAAGCTTAAAGACTCAGGCTCTGTAAAGTGCTTTGAGATGTTATCTAAGTACAAATTAAAAATATTTGTTGTTTGTTGCATCCCAGAAAAGACTCCAGGATAGAGGGAGGTTACGAGAACTGCTCCTTTTTGTTGTAGGTGGAGCACAATTAATATCACTCAGTCCTCTTTATGACAGCCAGAATGGAGGCAAAATGTAATTTTATTTGCAGGGTGTGTGTTCCCTACTGGGCATCCCGATTTAGGGCCCACTGGCTCTGGAGCTGCACAGTTTATTTTCACAGTGGGGCAAAATGCTAGCCCCACTTCTGAAATACTGGGTGGTGACCTCCCATTCAACTCTTCACCAACATGCTGGGCAAGCTACCTTTGAGAAGATCTCTTTTGAGTTCCTGGTTATTACTGGGACTCATCAGCGCTCGCTCTTGAGAGCATCACATTCCCCTCCTTGTTTGTTTATATATTTTAATCACTGTGGGATTGCATCTTCACAGAATTGACTGACACTGAAACGGATATTGGCAGTTCGTCAAGGTCAGTAAGATTGCTCTTGCTGATTAGATGCTGGAACCCACTGTTCACACCAGACTCCCCAGCTATCATGAGAATTCGAAGACACTCTGTGTTTTCTTATACAATGTAATAACTACTAACTCTTTGGCACTGTCTCCCCACATTTATGAACTGTCCCCTGATAGACAAACTTTTCAGATAATTTTCTTTTGGAAAAGCTTCAGGAAAAGTCTAACATTTGGAAGTACAGAAAGGAAACACTCTTTATCAGCTGAACTTTAACTGTAATTCTGGCCAAGCCTTGAATATAACTTCCGTTGCCATAATGCTCTTGTGACTGGGATACAAGACAGGACACACAGGAAATCATCCTGGGAATCAATGATGTTGTCATTAATGAGATGTTGTAATACCTATTCTGACAACATGATATAGATGAGGCAACTCTTCCAATCAATGGATTCCAAGTCATGGATTCCAATGGATCTGTTTCACAACACTTTCCATTTGTCATCTTTCTTAACGCAAAATAGCCAATAGACCTGTTTAATCCATTTCTCTTTGTGATCTACCTGAACATTCAGAGCAGGAATGCATTAATACCTGTCCATCCAGTAAGCACCGGCAGTACCCAGTGACTGGGTGGCATCCATTTGCATGACTACAGTCACAGCGTTCGACACAGTTCATTCCATAGAACCCATCCTGCCAGGAGAGAAGGACATCCTCAAAGTTAGGCTGGACGTTTCTACATTAAATTAATCTTATCCAAATAATGGGTAGTCGTGTTAACATAACAACACTATAACTTTGGCATTTGATGAAGCCCCTGAAAGAATGAAACAACTCAGGAAGCAGAAGACAAAATTAATTATAGACAACAACAACGACTTGCATTTATAAGGAGAATGGGGAGGTGACCAAAGGTGCAGTCGAAGAGGTAGGTCTTAAGGTGGGAGTTAAAGATAGATAAAGATCGTATTTTGCAGTCAGTTGGTTAAATAATAATAATCCTTACATTTGATATACCACTTTATCATGTCTTCGAGACATCTCAAACCGCTTAACAGAATATACTGTAAGGTGAGTTGACTGTATATTTGTGGGCGAAACGCAGCAGCCAATTGCGCACAGCAGTGTCCCACAAACAGACATGCATTGAAGTGACCAATTTTTTAAAAGAAATTATTACCCCTGAAAAAGCGATCCGCCAATCAACTACCAACCAGGTTCCTATGTATTGCGAGGTTAAACAGAGGTGTGTGGAGTAAGGAAACTTGTCCAACATTTTGCCCTAACCGGGAATCAAACCCAGGTCTCTCGTTTGCAAGGCAAGTGCTCTAACCACTGAGCTACAGGACTCCACATGTGTAAAGTGTCAAATGCATTTATACTTTCAATATCTTGTGGTTGCCATCACAACTTTCTAAAAACAGCTGATCAATTGTGCATCTATGAGTCATTTAAAGTCATAAAATCTGATTACTGTGCATATTGCCAAGGTAATCATGCCCAAAGTGGTGAATATTACTAGTCCAGGGGTTACAGTTGCAAAGCTAAGCTTATTTTTGGCATGACTGTTGCATTTCTCTCTGAATTGAATTTAAGTACAAGATTTCAAATTATAAAAGCTCTGTGAGTTAATAAGGAATTGAGTGTATTAAGGACATTTGGTTACTAAAGCAAAGTTAATTAAATCTGTTGGGCTATGCGGACTGAGTAAATTTATGAAATCAGTTAGAGAAAATAGGGAGTCTATGGAAGGACTGAGTCATATAAAATGTCAACATGGTGCTCACAGCATGAATGTTATATTTCAGTTAATAACAATGGAACATTAGGAAAAGGTACTGCTAACAACCCCCGACTCAGAGGATGGGCAAATTAAATTGTTGTACAAAGGGAGATTCATACTTGGAAAATATAGTCTGTAAATTCATGACATCTTGTATTTCCTGAGCTGTAATGTGTGGTTGACTGTGCGCTGATCTCTCCTCAGTTCCGATCAGTATGCTGAAAAATGGGGACATCCAAACCAGATCACCTGTTCTGAATCACTTCACTTCTGGAAGTGATTGTGTGTGCTTTGGATATGTATCGTGATCTGTAAATTTCATCTAAGCATGTAAATCATTCATATCCACCTCTAAGGTGCAACTGTGGGGAGGCCTTGAGCACTTTATCAGACATCGGCAGGACTTGCAGTGGCACTGGGGGCAGGGATTCTTCTCACTCCATTCTTGTTAAACCTGCAAACCCAAGCCTTAATAGTTGGGTGCTCCTAACTGGACAAACAGTAGCAAAGCCTGCCCAACAATGCTCTCAATGGCAAGCTATGCTGTTTTAGTTAGTTAGACTCCAGCAGTTCTCCAATAATAATAATAATCTTTGCATTTGATATAGCGCTTTTCACGTCGGGAGGACGTCCCAAAGCGCTTCACAGAACACACTGTAAAGTGAATTGACTGTATATTTGTGGGCGAACGTGGCAGCCAATTGCGCACAGCAATGTCCCACAAACAGTCGTAGATTGAAAATGACCAATTTATCATTGCTTTTGTTTTGGAGGGATTATTATTAGGCGTGTGGAGTAAGGAAACTTGCCCAAGGTTTCGCCCTGCCTGGAATTGAACCCAGGTGTCTCGCTTGCAAGGCGAGTGCTCTAACCACTGAGCTACAGGACTCCACAAACACACTCTGGGGTCCCCTAGCCTTGGGGAAAGGGCCCATCAATGTAGTATAGAATGAAAGATAGATTTCTGCAATTGAGCTTGTACATTACTGACAGCTTCACCATTGTTCTTCAATGCTACAGCTATAGCGAGGTAAATAATAAATAATAATAATAATCCTTGCATTTGGTATAATGCCTTCTCATGTTGTTGAGACATCTCAAAGCTCTTCACAGAATATATTTTAACTGTGATATGCTGTAATTAAAATAATTAAAATATAATTAAAATATACTTATTGTATATTTTATGGGAGATACACGGCAGTCAATAACGCACAGCAGTGTCCCACAACCAGTCATGCATTAAGTGAGTGAGGGAGCGAATAACAAATTATTACGAACAGAAAGTGATCCGCTAACTGCTCGGTAAACAGAGACGTGTGGAGTAAGGAAACTTGCTTAAGGTTTTGCCCTGCCCGAGAATCGAAGCCAGGTCCTCTCGCTTGTGAGGCGAGTACACTAACCGTATCCATAATGGGAGTATACTGCCTACCTGACATGGAAGGGTGCATTTCTCCCCTTGCCATCCTGGTAAACAAGTGCAGGAACCATCCAAGGCATTGCAGGATCCTCTATTGGCACACCGACAGGTAAAGTTACAGCCAAGACCCCATCTACCACTGGGACAAGGAATTGAGCAATCAACTCCATGCCAACCTAGCAGAGAGAAATCAGGAATGATCTGTGATGAAAATAGTCAGAGATATAACGTCTCAAAAACATATTCAATTATTTGACCTGTAAAGCCACAGGTTTGTCAATTGTTATGTTCAATAAATAAAAATCTGCTTTCCTCCACTTCTTTTTTTCAACACAGCCACAAAGAATCCAGCAATTCTTTTTGGTTGTAATTTGACTTCATGACTTCACGGATATCAGGAGTTATTTTTTCCATCCCAGTGTGGATCTGCTGTATCTGCTGAGCAGTAAAGAAGCCAGAGAAACTCGGGGAGTACAAGAAAGACTGTGCGTTCACATTCACCGACTATAATCCATCTTGTTGTAACGTCTCTATAAAGATGATCAATTCAAGTGATCAGTGTAAGGTAACCTCCCTGTAGAAAACTAATTCTTATTCCACTAGAGATAGCTTTTACACAATGAACGCGTGGGAAACATACTTTTGTAATGCTTTAATCAATGAACAAAATGTACAGTATTTTCAGTCTTCCATCCTGTGGGCTCTGGCCATATCTTACCTTCCTTGCAACTGCATGAACCATCTATGGGCGAGCAGGTAGCTTTATTTTTGCATTTGCAGGTAGAGGAGCAGTTAACTCCGTTCATCCCAGGAGGACAAGGAACTGAGCAGTTGCGACCCTAGTGGAAAAATTGAAATCACAAATGAACTATTGTTTCAAAATAGTCGAGATGCAGCACTACTCTCATATTTTTTGGTCGTCAGGATATCTGACTTATGCGGAAATCCATCAGGCCAGACTTTTCTTGTCCTTGGCTTTGCATTTTTTCTAATAATGGGATGAAGCCTACAGTTATTAGTATATGAGAAACATATGTTCACTGTGAAATTTAAAACAAAATAAAATGATGCAAATAGGTAACCCTTGCAGCAAGCCCACTGACTGCACTCATTTGAGGATAGATTGATGGAATATGGGCTTGCATTCCCCTTTCCCCTACTGCATTTCTTGAGGTCATCCAAGCCATCGGAGGGAGGAGCTGAGCTTAGGTTTGAGGTTTCCATATTGTAAGAGAAAAATCGAATGCCAGTCACCCCGAGTTACTGTCACACAACTTATACTTGGCCCAACCAGTGCTAGCAGATCTTAAAATTATAGAATCTTACAGCACAGAAGGAGGCCATTCGGCCCATCGTGCCTGTGCCAGCTCTTTGAAAGAGCCATCTAATTAGTCCCATTCCCTCACTCTTTCTCTATAGCCTTGCTATTTTATTATTTTCAAGTACAAAGGGTGACCAAAAAGTCATGATAACTGCCCTATTATCTAAAAAATTATATCATCATTTCAAGAGTTATTAGACATTGTAATGGTATCACGACTTTTTTGGTCACCCTGTATATATCCAATGACAAGTAAAAGACAGTTTGCACACATATAGCAAATGGGAGGGAAAATAACTTCAAAATTCTATCAATCAGTTATTTGGATCTTTAAATACTAAAAACATAGGCACTCAGGTCTATGATAGGCCAATTCCTGAAAAATGCTGCTAACTTATTTTGAACAGTTGTAAAAATCCTAATAGAGAATGATAATCCTTACATTTGGTATTGAAACGTTTATGTCAGGAGTGCACCTCAAAGCTCTTCAAAAAGAGCTTGACAGAGGCTGATAACTGGCAAAGGAAGCTGGACCAAGTAAAGGAAAGCAGGAGGGAGTAAAGCTGCAAATTTCTCACTCCTCATACAGGGATTTGCAAGCCGTTTGGTTATATCAACAACAACAACTTGCATTTATATAGTGCCCTTCGCTCAGGGTAGCTTATTATATAGCGCCCTTCACCTGGAGCGCTTATCCTTGACTCTAACCAATTGACAGAATATCTTACCGATGAATGGATTGCAGCAACTTGAAGGCAGCACCGATGGATAGCTCGGTTAACTCTGGTGATGATTAAGGAATAATATTGTGGTGTTCCTAACACATTCCTTGTGATATTAAAAAAACACTGCCAATCTCTCCCTGTTGTTATTTGAGCGTGTCGTTTCCAGCCATGAGTCTCGACACAGTGGGGCTTCAGCAGACTGACTTTACTTTGAAAGTGTTCAAAATCCCACCCCAGATATTGTTCTCTTAGCTTTGGTCTCAGAGCTTATGATGTAACCTGAATTTTTGTACTTATTGCAGCCTCCCAATTCTGCTCATGGATCCATTACTGTCACGATTCAAATCATAATAAAGGAGTTTCAAACGTCGGATCTGGTTCCCACATGATGAACTGACATCTTAGATAGGAAAAAATATAATTTTATTGAAAATGCAAGGTGTTTAGACCCAGAAGTTCTTTGTCAATAGTCATAACAATAATAATAATCTTTGCATTTGTATAGCGCCTTTCACGTCAGGAGGACTTCCCAAAGTGCTGGACAATCAGTGTTTCGGATACGAGCTGGAGGTTGGGTTTGGGGAGGGTGGAGGGCAGGGTGGGGGAAAGGAGGGTGACCGAAGGCACTGTCAAAGAGGAGGGTCTTAAGATGGGTCTTGAAGGAGGCAGGGAGGGGGCGAGGTGGAGGGACTGCGAGATGGAGTTCCAGAGAGTGGGATATATATTACAAATATTACATAATACTAATTACACTTCAAATAAATTAATTTTGTTCAAAGCACCTTAAAGTGTTTTAGTGTGATAAGTGCTACATCAAATGTTTGATATATCAAAAGTACTATGTCAAATATTATTAATAATATTTGCTTTTGGATAATTGGTAACTAATAATAATGATTTTGACATGAATGGAAGTTTCACATCTCCTATCCCAGACAGGAGGCCATCAAGAGGAGAAGAACTTCATACAGAATTAAAAGGAGAAAACTGGAGATTAAAATGAAGTTGAAGAAAATGATAAACCTCTATTGTTTAAGCAAAGAGACTGTTACTCAATCACTTCCCCCCACACCCCACCCAAGCAAAGAAATACCAGGCCTGTTACCTTATATCCTGGTGCACAGATGCATTTGCCAGTTACACTGTCACAGTCAGCACCATTCTGGCAGCTGCAGATTTGTTGGCAAGATTCACCATAAAATCCAGGAGCACATGTTTCATTGCAGTACAGTCCAGACCATCCAGGTTTGCACGAACACTCACCAGACATGGGATGACAGCTGGTGGGAGAGGATAAAAGGGCTCAGTTTGTTACAGCAAAGGCCAGACTTATTTGCAGAAATGTTATATTCCAGACACTAAATCCAATTGGTTGTAAGTAATCCTCTGCTCAAGGGTAAATCACTGCATCGGTGGAGACTACGCTTTTCAGTTTTTACTTAGGTTTGGAACAAATCAAATGCTGAATGATATCTTTCATTTTTATTCAGATGCATTCAGTGGCAATGTTCTTCTGTTTGTTTGCTTCAGCGACGGCAATTGTAAAATGAACAGGAATCGAATGAGCAAATTTATACTTCAAAAATATAGAATGAACATTTTCTAAACAACCAGATTGTTAGCATTTATCAGTACAGACTGCAAGTGTTTAAATGATCAGTTCCAGACCTAATATAGAAAGAATTTTTTAAACTGAACGCCCAGGAGAAATTAATAATCCATGCATTTGACACAGTATCTTGTTACATCATCATCAAGATGTCTCAAAGAGCTTCACAGGATTTACTGCAAAAGTGACTGTGCATTTTGTAGGTAAACACAGCAGCTATTAAGCACACAAGTAAAGTGAATGAGCAAATGGAGTCCTGTAGCTCAGTGGTTAGAGCACTCGCTTTGCAAGCGAGAGACCTGGGTTCAATTCCAGGCAGGGCGAAACCTTGGGAAGGTTTCCTTACTCCACACACCTAATAATAATCCCTCCAAAAAAACCCAATAATAAATTGGTCATTTTTCAATCCATGACTGTTTGTGGGACATTGCTGTGCGTAATTGACTGCCGCGTTCGCCCACAAATATACAGTCAATTCACTTTGCAGTATATTCTGTGAAGCGCTTTGGGACGTCCAGAAGATGTGAAAAGCGCTATTCAAATGCAAGGATTATTATTATTAAATTTATCCAGAGGATTGTTGGCTGGGCACCAAGAGAAGCTCCCTTCCCTTTGTGAATCCTGCAGCTCAGTCGTTAGAGCATTCGCCGCGCAAGCGAGAGACCTGGATTTGATTCCCAGCAGAGCGAAACCTTGGGCAAGTTTCCTTACTCCACATGCCTGATAATAATCCCTCAAGAAAACAAACAATAATAAATTTGTCACTTCAATCCATGACTGTTTGTGGGACACTGCTGTATGCAATTGGCTGGTGCACAAATATACAGTCAATTCACTTTACAGTATATTCTGTGAAGCACTTTGAGACATCTAGAAGACGTGAAGAGTGCTATATCAAATGCAAGGATTATTATTATTAAATATTCTCATTGGATTTTGCCAACAAAATACACAGTCTAGGAACTGCAGTTTAAAAAAATTCTAAATGCTTTTATTTAACATTTTTTTCAAAAATAGGGTTGAACAAATGAAAAAGGAAAAAACATTCTCCAGAAATCAGAGAGTGGTCAGTCCAACCATTTGCAAGTATTGGGCAAATGGGATTGAGAATATTGCACTCTGTGACCATTAACCCATCACATGTGGTAAATTTCCCTCCATAACTTTCTATTACATTTTTTAACCATTTACAATAACTAAAAACTTGACTGGAATAGATACTTGACCAGAAAACCATCATCAAATAAATAAAGGGAAGAGGGGAGGAAAAGTACCTCTGTGAGTACACTTGGTTCACAGCCACTAATACCTGTTTGATGGCAGCTGCTTCCACCTGAAACTCATTTCAGGCCAACAAGACAGCTGTTTAATCCAAGCAAAAGGAGTTTATCAACTGTGCCTGGGCATATCAAATGGCAAATTAGGTACAAAGAGGAGCTTGTGACAGACTGGTGTCTGTAATGTTTTCAGTATGTAAGGATCAGGCCCACAGCTTAAATGAATGAATTTACCATGCTCAGATTTACATTGATAACACAGACTGCCATAAAATCTCCTGTGTTGTTAAATTGCCCATACTGGGGTCAAGCCACGTTCAGGAACCATTTCAGGCTTCCATAACAATTGATTCATGTGCGAATATGCCCTCCAGAAATACTCATCATACAGTTACTGACTGGCAGAGGCAGAGCTTTGAACTTTTTAATACAGATCAACTCCCTGGGGAAGCTTTCAAAATCACCAAAATTGCTCCAGTCGATAAGTCACAAGTCATGACACATGCATGACCGTAGCCTCAATAAAACCGGCTGGAAATTAGCGAACACAAAATACTAATTATATTTTGTGCAGAAAGCGAAGACTGGTATTGCTATGTCCCATTCTCAATTTGTTTCGAACTCGCACATTGCTGTGCACAAGCACGAATATTCATTCTGCTTTTGTTTAAACTCATACATATACAACTAGAACATCTGCTGTTCTCAATCAGTCCAAGACTGTAGTATCTTTGAATACAACTTGTGTCCAGTGCTGATTTCACACCAACACTAGTATCTTACAGGAAATCACTATTTTCACCCATCGGTACCAAACATCACAACCACTCGTCCCCTTGTGAGTCATTGATGATCTTGCATTTTTATAGTGTCTATTTATACTCTGTTGTCACTAAAGCAGCTATCTGCACAAATTTGAATGTACAAAAATATGTTGGTGGATCACAGAGTTTAAAACCCTTTGTGAGTGTTTGAAAGAAATCATCTGCATTTTTTCAACATATCATCGTGTCAATTGGTCTCAAAACATTTCACATTAATACTATCAAGTGTGGTGACTACTTTTATAGGCAAGTGACATAGACATTTTTCATGCACCAAGATTTCACAAACAACTATGGGCAAATAATTAATTTGGAGGATTGTTAGCCAGGACATCAGGAGAAACTCCCTTCTCTTTCAAATGATGTCATGACATCTTTAACATCTATCTGAACAGGCAGATCGGGCTTCAGAGGTATGATGCCTCCAACAATGCCGCGCCCCTCAGCACCAGAGTACCAGCCTAGACAATGAGTTAATGTCTGACATAGTGCTTAAACCTCACAACTCCAGAGGCAAATGCTACCGACTGAGCCAAGTTTACACCATGTAATTTTTAGCCATTTAAAGATTACCACTTTTTATTCCTCCCTTTTTTTATTGTTGGGTATGAGATGGTTGCACAAATAATGCTTCAGGAGGCGGTGGAACAATGCATTATGAGCATTGACAAGTGCATCGAGAGCTAGCAATGTCAAAAACTGATGTCTCACAAAACATCTTGGAAAAATTGAGGCTTGTTTGTGCAGGAAGATCCTAAAATGTACCACCTTCTCCCAACCCCTGTTTATTTTGCATTAATTAAAAACTAATCCTTTATGCAGGATTTAGTGAATGAAAGTGCAGCCAAAATTAGTGGATCGGAAGGGTAGGTCTGAGTTGGAGGAATGTAGGGTCCATGTAGGGAATGGAACTGGAGGAGACTGCAGAGGTAGGGATAGAGCAAGAACAAGAAATATGATGGTCAGGGCAAGAACCTTGAAGCCTATCCAGTGGGGGGGAAATGAGGAACCAATAGTGTGAGGATAATGGGAGTGATGGATACTTGAAGCCTAGTACGGGCTGTGGAGCGCTGATTTAGCAGGAGCTATTGCAGGATACAATGCAATACAAATTCACATTTACATAGCACCTTTCAAATCGGGAGAAAGTCCCAAGGGACTTAACAATCCTGGCTTGGCATCTGAGCTAGGGGTAGGAGCCAAGGGGTTAGGGAGCTCCAAGATGCTATCCTGTGTGAAGGGCGCTATATAGTGGAAAAATGCTGGCATCCACTTCATGCTGCAATAATACGCCTCAATTTTTCCACGATGGTTTGTGAGACATCTGCTTTTCACTTTACCAGTTCTTGTAGTTGTTATTGCTGTTGACGTTGAAGGTGATCAATTGATGACCAAAAGCATGGTCAAAGAAGTAGGTTTTGAGGCGGACTTTGAATGAGGGGAGCGAGTGAGCAAGAGAGTCGGAGGGACTCCAGGATGAAGTTCCAGAGAGTGGAGGCAGATAGACTGAAATCGCAGGCGCCATTGGTGAGGCGGTTGGGCAGCAGACATGAAGCAGGCCTTTAAAGATTGAATTTAAAGTCGGACTTTAAAGATTATATTTTTTGAAAAAAGGTTTCTCCCGGTGTTCTGGCCAATTATCCTTTAATAAAAATTGGTCATTCACTGCATGAGTGTTTATGGGCCATTGCTTTGGGCAAAATTGACTGCTGGGTTCGCCCACAAAAAAACTCAATCAAATCCACTTTACATTATATCCTGTGAAGTGCTTTGAGACATTTTCCTGAAGTGAAAGCTGTTGCACCAAATGTAAGGATCGATATTATTATCATTATGATTTATAATTTGCTTACTCGTGATTTACTTACTCCAACTGTTTAAATGATTTTACTCTATTCCCTAAATGATACTTACCTCAAAGTATACTGTGAGTGGCAGGGGCACTTTTTGTCACACTTTATTCCATATATTCCTTTGGGACACATCCTGATCTCACAGTAGTCTCCAGTGAAGCCTGGCTCACATAGACAGGTACCGCTAATGTGGTAACACTTTCCTCCATTGGAGCACTTGCATTTCTGAGTGCAATTCACTCCATAGGTACCAAAGGAACATTGATCTTGACATCTACAAGAGAGGGAGAGAGAGAAAAAGTAGTTTAATAATTACACTAGTTGAAGTTCTTTGGCCAGATACCACATAATTTTTCACATCTTCTAGACGTCTCAAAGCATTTCACAGAATATACTGTAAAGTGAATTGACTGTACATTTGTTGGCGAAACGTGGCAGCCAATTGTGCACAGCAGTGGATTGAAGTGCCCAATTTATTATTGTTTTTTTTCTTGAGGGATTATTATCAGGTGTGTGGAGTAAGGAAACTTGCGCAAGGTTTCTCCCTGCCAGGAATCGAACCCAAGTCTCTCACTTGCGAGGAGAGTGCTCTAACTACTGAGCTACAGGACTTCACTATAAGACCATAAGACATAGGAGCAGGAATAGGCCATTCAGCCCCTCGAGCCTGCACCACCATTTAATAAAATCATGGCTGATCTTCTAACCTAATTCCATTTACCCGCCCTATACCCATGTCCCTTAATCCCTCTATCTTTTAGAAATCTATCAACCTCAGTCTTGAATATGTTCAAGGACTGAGCATCCACAGCCTTCTGGGGTAGAGAATTCCACAAATTCACTACCCTTCTTCAGGAAGAAATGTTTCCTCAGCTCAGTTCGAAAAGTCTGACCCTTAATCTTGAGACTATGACCCCTAGTTTTAGATTCTCCAACCAGGGAAAACAGTCTCACGCTATCTACCCTGTCAAGACCCTTAAGAATCTTATAGGTTTCTATAAGATCACCTCTAATTATTCTATATTCTGGAGAATATAGGCCTACTTTACTCAACCTAGGATAACCCCTTCATCCCAGGAATCAACCTAGTGAATCTACACTGCACCCCCTCTAAGGCGAGTACGTCCTTTCATAAATAAGACCAAAACTACACACAATATTCTAGGTGCGGTTTCACCAAGGCCTTACATAACTGCAGCAAGACTTCCCTACTCTTGTACTCTGGATACTAACACTACCTAATCTCTCCCCCTCTAGAAAATAATCTGCTTTTCTATTTTTACTACCTCGGTGAATAACTTCACATTTCCCCACGTTATACTCCATCTGCCACCTTCTTGCCCACTCACCTAGCCTGTCTATTTCCCTTTGCATTCTTCATGTGTCATCCTCACAGCTTACTTTCCCACCTATCTTCGAATTTAGATATAAATTCAGTTTCCTCATCCAAATCATTGATATAGAGTATAAATAATTGAGGCCCAAGAACTGATCCTTGTGACACTCCACTAGTCACATCCTGCCAATCTGAGAAGGACCCATTAATCCTTACTCTCTGTTTTCTTCCTGTTAGCCACTCTCAAATCCATGCTAATATATTGCCTTTAATTCCATGGGCTCTAATCTTATGCAACAGCCTTTTATGTGGCACCTTGTCGAATGCCTTCTGAAAATCTAAATACACCACATCTACTGGTTCCCTCCAAACTAACCTGCAAGTTACATCCTCAAAAAACTCTCAAAAGATTTGTTAAACATGATTTCCCTTTCGTAAAACCATGTTGACTCTGCCTAATTTGTTATGATTTTCTAAGTATCCCACAACGATGTCCCTAATTAAGGACTCTAGAATTTTCCCTACCATTGATGTCAGACTAACTGATCTATAGTTCCCCATTTTTTGTCTCCCACCCATCTTAAATATCGGCGTTATGTCTGCAACCTTACAATTAATGGAAACCATTCCAGAATTCAGGGAATTTTGGAAGATCAAAAACAAAGCAACCACTATTTCTGCAGCCACCTCTTTTAAAACCCAAGAATGCAGGCCATCAGGTCCAGGGGATTTATTGGGTTTTAATCCTATCAATTTCTCTAGTACTATTGCTTTACTGATGTTCATTTCTTTAAGTTCCTCATTAACATTAGCCTCCAAGTTCCCCTCTATTTTTGATAAGTTTTCAGTGTCCTCTAACGTGAAGCAACAACAACAAGAAGATTACATTTGTATAGCGCCTTTCACGTCGCGAGGATGTCTCAAGGCGCTGGACAGTGTACTGCATTTCAGACCCGAGCTGGGGTCAGGGGGGGAAGGGAGGGGAGGGGAAGGGGGGGTGACTGATAGCATGGTCGAAGAGGATGGTCTTGAGGCGGGACTTGAAGGAGGCTAAGGAGGTGGCGGGGCGGAGTGACTGGGGGATGGAATTCCAGTGGCTGAAGGCTCTCCCACCAATGGTGGGGTGGGTCAGGGAACGTGGAGCAGGCCGGAGCCAGCTGAGCGGAAGGAACGGGCAGGTTGGTAGGGGGTTAGGAGGTCACAGAGTGGGGTGAGGCCGTGGAGGGCTTTGTATGCGAGGACCAGGATCTTGAACTGGATCCTCTGAAGGATAGGGAGCCAGTAGAGTCGGGCGAGAGTGGGGGAGATGGGGTCACGGAGTTTGGTGCGGGAGAGGACATGGGCTGCAGAGTTCTGGATTATCTGCAGCCTGTGGAGGGAGGAGTTGGGAAGGCCAACAAGCAGGGCGTATGCATAGACGCCTGGAGGAGATGAAGGCATGAACAAGAGTTTCAGCGACCTGAGGGGTGAGGTAGTGGCGGAGTCGGGTGATGTTACGGAGGTGAGGGAAGGCAGAGCGGGTCATGGCTTGGATGTGGGGAAGAAAAGACAATTGAGGGTCGAACAAGACACCCTGGGTTCCTGACTGGTTTGGTGAGTTGTAGTGAGCAACCATGGAGGTTGATGCTGCCAGAGCCTGAGGTGGGAGGCTCTGGCATGAGTCAATCAGGAGGGCCTCAGGCTTGAAAAATATTTGTTTAATGACTTTGCCATTTTTTTATTCCCCCATTATAATTTCTCCTGTCTCTGCCTGCAATGGACCCACAGTCACTTCTGATAGTCTCTTTCTCTTTATGTACTTGTAAAAACTCTTACGATCTGTCTTTATATCTCTAGCTAGTTTACCCTCATATTCCATTTTCTCCCTCTTATCAGTTTCTTGGTTTTCTTTTTCTGATCTCTAAAGCCCTCCTGATCCTCAGGTTTGCAGCTCTTTTTGATTGTATTATAGGCTTCTTCTTTTGATTTTGTACTTTCCCTAACTTCTTTAGTTAGCCATGGTTGAACCACTTTTCCTGTGGAATTTTTATTTTTCAAGGAAATATGTGATCACTGGGAATTATGTATTATATCTTTAAACGTTTGCCATTGCTGGTCTACCGTCATATTTTTTAATCTAATTTCCCAGGCTATTTTAGCCAAATCTTCTCTTTATTTAGATTTAAGACCCTTGCTTCGGATTCAACTTCATCTCTCTTTAACTTAATGTTAAATTCCATCATATTATGGTCACTCTGCCCTAGAGGAGCCTTAACTTCCAGATTGCTGATTAGCCCTATTTCACAAAACAAGATCTTAGGATAACCTGTTCCCTGGTAAGTTCCTCAGCATACTGTTCTAGAAAACTAACTCTAATACATTCTATAAACTCATCCTCTAATTTACCTTTGCCAATTTGGTTTTCCCAGTCTATATGAAGATTGAAATCACACACTATTAGTGCATTCCCCTTGTTACATGCTCCTCTAATATCCTGATTAATACTCTGCCCAATACTGTAACTCTTGTTTGGGGTCTATAAACTACTCCCACTAGTGTTTTCTGCCCCTTGTTGTTTCTGACCTCCACCCATACATCCTGATTTTCTGATTTTAAATCCTTCCTCTCTACTGTTTTTATCTCATGCTTTATTAGCTTTATTAGCAGGACTACCCCCCCCCCACCTCGTTTTCTACATTGCCTATCTTTCCTGTACGTCGAATACCCCTGGCTAGCTCCCACCCTTGGTCTCCCTGTAACCACGTCTCAGTAATAGCATCTCAATGCAAATAACATCTGGCTCCCCAAACCAGAAAGTTCATATAAATGTTCGGCAAAGCAACAGCTTGAGAAGTCTTGGAGCTAAATGTTTGCCAATGCTGGGTATTTGTCCAGTGGTGGAAAGCTAGCATCAAGTCAGACACAGTGTGCTGAATTGGCTTAATCTGTGTGCTATAAATATGTTGCAAGGGATAGTGAAATTGTCATGTGCAATAATTATTACATCAAGTAAACAACCAGTCAGAAACATTCAGTAGCTATCACTGACAAAAGATAACTGCTAGGAACATAGGAATGCCCAGGACCAGAAAAGCCCAGCTACAGTCCACTTGACCTATTACCTGTTCAATACCATCTCTCCCTGTTTTATAATAGTAACAACAACAAAATTACATTTGTATAGCACATTTCACGTCGGGAGGACGTCCCAAGGTGCTGGACAATCAGTGTTTCGGACCCGAGCTGGGGGTTGGGTTGGGCAAGGAGGAGGGCAGGTGGGAGAAGGGTGATTGAAAGCACGGTCGAAGAGGAGGGCCACGAGATGAGTCTTGAAGGAGGCAAGGGAGGGGGCGAGGCGGAGGGACTCCGGGATGGAGTTCCAGAGGGTGGGGGCAGAGTGGCAGAAGGTCTATCCACCAATATTGGGGCAGGTAAGGTGGGGACGTGAAGCAGGCCGAAGCCCATTGAGCGGAGGGAACGGGCAGGATGGTAGAGGGTTAAGAGGTCATAGAGGTAAGGGGGAGCAAGGCCATGGAGGATTTTGAAGATGAGGACCAGGAACTTGAACTGTATCCTCTGTGTGATGGGAAGCCAGTGGAGTCGGGCTAAGATGGGGTTGATAGGGTCATGGAGCCTGGTGTGGGAGAGAACATGGGCTCCAGAGTTCTGGAAGATCTGCAGCCTATGGAGGGAGGAGTTGAGGAGGCCAACAAGCAGGGAGTTTTCATAGTCAAGCCTGGATGTTATGAATGCCTATATGGGTGTTTCGGCAGCAAGGGAATGTCCCCTCAGAATCCTGTTAAGTCATCAAAACATTTCTGCTTCCTCTATTTTCCTCCTGATGGGAATTACTTAGGACTCTCATCAGTACCTTCCCATACCACAACAGTTGATATTGGGAATTCAAATGTGGGCATGAATCCAGCTACCACTTTTCCATGTCACAATGTACCAAAACC